GCTCTTTTCTTAGGGACCCAGAGTGGTATTCTGGGAGTGGGGCTCGAACTTAGAACCTCAGGACTCCAAGCTCTAACCACTAGGTCGCCACTCCCCTAAATAAGGTATAGAGGTATAGAATAAGTGCATTTTCTCTTAAATTAAGCAGGTAAGTCAGACTCTTTGTCAATGGCATAGGATGATTTACATTAAATAAATAGAAAAGAACCAAACTGATTTGTCTTACTTCAAGTCTAATGATCTTTTTTTAAGTGTAAAAAATACTACTTCCATTGGCAAATCATCTTATTTACCTACTCAATTAAAGGTGAATAAACTCATTTTAAGAAATGTTTACTTATTTTTAGCCAGTTTTTGCAGCGTATTGGGGGACAGGCAGCTTACCATCTGGGTAGCCTCTGTGATCTTGGCGCTAAGGTTGCTCAGTCGGTCCTTCACATCCATCACATCAGCATCAGCCTTTTGGCTCAATGGTAGAGCGCCAACACACTTTATTCCGTCCTTGCAGGCCTGGCTTCCCTCTGCTGGACACAAAGCTTCCCCTGCACACTGCAGAGGGGTGCAGGGCTCTGACCGAACGCTGCCACACACCTGGAAAACAGTCACAATCAGATAGGAGCTACAGGGAGCAGATTAGATGAGACTGGTGAGATGCTTGGCTGCAATTTAAGGCTTTATTTGAGAGTTTAATCTGCTGCTGCTGTTTTTCACTTTTATTCCTGTCATGCTTCTTTTATTACATGGAAAAAACTGAAATCTAAATAAGTTTTTCTTTCCTAAAATAACATAACATGCATTTATTTCTTGAGGTAAGTGAAACACTTTGCCAGTGCAAAAAGACAATTTACATTTAAAATGAGAAAAAACTGTTGCATGTCTCATTTCAAGCGCACATCATCAAATTATCTTATTTCCAATTTGCAAATCATCTCATGCACCCATTCAAATTAAGGGTAAATACACTTAAATGAAGAATTTCTTATTTCTAGATCATTTCTGCATTGTGGATGAATTAATTTTTTTCTTTCCCAGATTGTTATAAAGCTGCAGCTTCTTCGTGGTTGATACCTGTTTAGCCACAGGAGTCAGGTCTGGTTGGGTGGCCATGTTTTGCTTTAGCTTGTTCAGGTCTCTGGTGTTGTTCGGTTGCACTTGGCCCTGAAGGTCCTCCGCCTCCTCTCTGATGTCACTGGATTGCTTCACCGTGTCTTCAGTAGAATCCACCTTCTTCTCTGCTTCTGTCGATTCATCATACGCCTTCTTGATGGCATCAAGTGCTTCTGTAGGAAAAGAAGGAGAAAATGTCAGAGTCTGTCCAGTTCTGATGATGATGATGATATCTTCTAGCAGCTTTTATTTCAAACACTAAAGATGGATCCGTTCCAGAGAAAGTTGGTAGAGCTGACCTGTGCTGCCGGGGTCGGTCCCGCCTCCTCCTGCCTTGGCGTCATAAATCAAAGAGAGGCTATCCAGCAGAGCTTGTATTTTATCCAGCTCAGACTCCAAACCAGGATCTCTCACTGGAGAAGGAAGATTATCATTCACTCTATTCATCTCATCCCTGCAGAAAAACAAAAAAGGTGATTAGAAGTGAGAGAAAAAACCTGTTTCATCTAATCAGGTGATGCATCGGAGGAAAAACATTAATGTTGGGCTCATAAACCAATATAAAGTCTTAAAGGGAACAATAACCCTGCCTAACAGAGTAAGTCTGCTTTATTAGCGCACTTGTTGGAGTTGGTTAAAAAAAAAAACACCACACAGAAAAAGTGAAAACAAAGAACAATAATTGATCTGTTCATAGCAAAATTATAACATTTCTGGTTTAAATAGATTTTCCCTAAATGATAAAAAAAATAATGATTTCCCTTTAAATTAAACTGCATGTTTTTTCCAATGAGAAATGGCTTGGATTCTTTGAAATGACAGGAAATTAGTTTTTTCTATGTTAAATAGTTGATTCTTCCCTTCACGTCCCCCCCCCCCTCTGCTAAAGACTTAAACTAGATTCAAACTTATTTGTCATTGTTCCTCATGGTTATAACAATCTTT